GTTAAACTTTAATAATAACAAATAATTGTTGAGAACTGATTATCAAGAACTGCTTATCAAAGTTTGCTTTGCTGTCAGGCCCTGCCCCAAGGCCCTGCCCTCCCCCCAATGGTGTCTGGCTTTACCAATGTTAAAATCTGGTCACCTTATTCTATTATAACATAGGAGCTGTTGTTAGCACTGCTGACTCGTCCAGCTTAAGCTAGGCAGCCTCCTTTCTCCTTTGCTGAAGTGTCCACACATCAGCTTATCTGCCTTTGTGAGGGTCCTGTGTATGACCACATGCCTAAGGAACTCTGAAGGCATGTGAATGCTGCAGATTGTGCAGTATAAGGCCTGTCCCTGCTCACATCTGCACAGCTCTGTGATTTCCACTGAGAGGGTCAGCCAGAGCCGGCAAACCAAACTTCTCAACTATGCAGTACACGTTCAGGAAGCCTGAAAGGGACTGGTCACCAGGGGGCGATCTCACACAGCAAACCTGGCCTTTGGAAGTGTGGGGAAAGCTGAACTCCTCCACTCTCTCCGGGGCCCAGATTTCTCAGATAAGGGAGGGAATAAAGAGACAATATGGCTCATGTTAACAAGGGATGAGGACCCAGAGTGCACAGGGCAGAGTGGCTGAAAGCCATCATTTCCTGTCTTATGGACAGGGAACCCAGCTAGGGGACAAGAATACTCAGGTCTGCAACCAAACCCTCCACAGCATGTCTGTGTGTAAAAGTCACTGAAAGGACAGCCATTTGTCTGGTTTTTAGTATATATTAAAATGAATTTATTTACACAGTAAATGATGCCACAGAATACACAGCAAAGTACCACAGCAAACCATAGGGTGGCGCCACTGGTGACAGAAGGGATCTTTCATTGATAAGATTTATATATACCTTATAATATGTAAGTAGAGAGGTGAAGCTCCTGAAAAGCAAGAAAAACAAGATTTTCAAATACAGAGTGTGGGCAGAGCCAAGGAGGATTAAGGAGAGATCAGAATGACGACTGTTACAATTCAAATCACTTGAGTAGGATGACAGCTTGCTTTTGCCTTGATCTTACTCCAAAATAGAGGACCCCAACCTAGTGTATTCACGTACAACAGTCTTTAAAAACTGGTAAGGAAAGGGAAAACTAAAAAAGTAAGCAAGTAAGCTTACTTAAGCAAGTAAGTAGTGCTTGGAGTAAGTTTTGAAGTAGTTTAACCTTTCAAAAATGCTACCCTAAAGCCATAGGGCTGGTTGAACATTTAAGCTATGAGTGCAGACACACACATCCTATCCACATGCTAATAGGCTAAGTGGATTTTCTATACTATAATAATATTCATAGCAAAATATATGACTCTGTACTTCTGCTAGGTTAAAATATTTCCAACCTCTTTTGATTCCCTGAAACGTTCTTGATTAAAAAAAAAATGGGATGGGTGGAGATGAGATGCTGGGCTAAACTCAGAGGCTCACTGGAGTGGAACCATGTAAAGGGACATTCAGAATGCAGGCCCCTGCAGCCTGCGTGGGTGGGGAAAGCTTCCAGCAGTGGCTTATGCAAAAACCTATTCTAATTTTAAACAGCTGTGTGGACAGAGTGTTTTAACAGCTGTATAGCACCTTGTATATTCTGGGCACTTCCAAATATTAAGTGATGGTGATGATGAATGGTAAACAACTCTGTAAGAAGGTTTATAAAACAAGTGTAATTTGTTAAGAAATTTCCCAAGAATTTTTAAAACAAACCTATTAAAACTACCATGTCTCTTTTAAAAAATCCCTTGCTTTCATTATCACATGGATATGGTGTTCCCAAGCTGAGGTTTGAGCAACAGCCACAGTCATGTCAAGGGGAGACAGAATAGTTCCTTCTTAAATTTGGGAAGCTTTGTATCTGTCCAGGGTTCTCATCATCATTACCATCTTCTTTTTTTCTTCTAATATACAAAGTGGACTTCTTAAAAAAAACAGGTGCTTTTTGAGATGGGATTTAGTAGCCAAATACCTCGACATGGAATGTATGTGAATTCCCTTCCCATAGTATCTGTCATGACTCACCTTTGCCATCTTAGAAGCATAGGGATAAAAAGGCTTGATTTCTTTGGTATAATGTCCTAGGATCTTGCATTCAGGTCTTCTGGCTTCTTTTATGGCATCACTTTTGGTCCACGGAATCTTCCCTTTTGGTGCTGCTATAAGCCTGGACAGCTGGACTTCATCAGTAAGAGCAGCACTTGGATTTGCCTCGGCACAACACTTTGGGCCTTTGAGAATGTGAGCTTCAATGAGGTAAAACTAATACCCTGGTTTCGTGGGCAGCCATCCTGTTCTCTCATTAGGCTGGATCAGAATTTTCAATCTTTATCAACTAGTGAGGGGAATGAAAAGCATGCCAGAGTAGGCCCAAGGAGTTAAGTTCCTTAATTTACATATCTAGTGTCACTTGAAATATAATGCAGAATCCTGAAGCTATCGCTATTTTGGGGACTAGTTTTTCAGACCACTGCTGGTAAAACCTAGAGAAAAATCTTAACTGCAAGTTACTAGTAAACCAAATATCAGGTTACTTCTCAGCACAAAATTATTCATAACTCATATTTGAGAAATTGGGTGCAATCTTCCTATGCTCTACTATTTACTAGACCCCAAAGGTTTTTCATGCAGATTTTATAATACTAGAAATTTTAAAATGTAATTTTAAGTAGTTTTACTCCTAGAAATGCCAATAATATTTCTAGAGGTTTAAAACTCTTATTAAAATTTTCCATGTTCACAAGTTTTATTCTGAGTTTGGAAGCAAAACTGGACCTCACTTTATCTGACAATGGGTGGTGACTCCAACTGTTATATCTAAACATTTTACTTTCAGCCATTAACATGAGTAGGAGGGTGCTTGTGTCTCTCTGCCCCCTAAGACCTCACCCAGTTCATCTAAGGGCAAATCTTGAAACTCTTTGCCATATTCCTGACTTCTAATTCTAACTTAGTAGGGGTCGGTGGATCTCATTCATGGTACGAGGCTGTTCCACAGGTTACAGTTGTTCTTTTTCTCACCCTATTGTTATTCTTCATGAATTTGCTTCTGAGCAACACATTAGGGCACATATGCCAAAAGGGCTTTCCTCAGCCAGCAAGGGGGGCTTCCTGAAGTCCTAGCCCTCTTTGTGGAATCTCCACTGACTCTCTTCCTTCCAAGACTGGGTCACCATTCTAACAAGGCACTCTGCTACACATTCAGTCTTGCTCTTGGCTACTCTAGTCACAGTCGTGTTTCTCCAGTACCCAAAATGTCAAAGAGATTGTTCATGTGGCTTAGGAAAAGTTCCAATAGGAGCTTAATTGTTCAGATTCTCAATATAAATGCAAGAATCTATAATAAAAACTTCAATAGAAAAGAAAAACATTCCAATCAATATTGAAGGCAATAAATTGCTGTTATTTGAGAAAATTAAAGTGCTATACTAGTCACAATCAAAACTCATATATATATATATATATATATACACACACACACAAAATGGGTATGTGTGGGTGTATGTATCTGTGTCTACAGAGGGGTAGGATTTCTTTCCAGTTGATGAATAAATTCAAAGTTCCTACTATAATTAAAATAAAAATGTAAAATATTTGTGGTAATGTTTAACTGAATTTCATTATTATGGAAAAATATTCTGAGGACCATTTGATATAGTCCTTCTTGCTTAGAAAAACATTTCTCTATTCTGCTCTAACCTTTCATACCCTCTTTCCTTCCCACCTCACATTCTTTGGCCGTCACCCAGAGAAAAATTAATTTAGCCACCTGTCTCTGGGAAGCTTGAGGACCTTCTCTGACTACTTGGCATTCATCTTTTGCCCTTAACATATTTGAATATAAAAACAGTACTAAACACATCCAATGTGAAGAGGTGCTTGGTTTACCAGTGCTATAAGACAGTGGTAGTGGAGGTGTCCATGCTTATTATGGAGTTAAATGGAGACTGGATCCAAGTCATAATAGAAAAAAGTAAAGAGAAAGATACTGAGAGACGTAACAAAGAGAAAAACCAAGGTACATTTTGCATCGAATATGTACCCTCATTAAATAGTCAACATTCAAATTTACATGGGCAAGGCACCACAAGAGTGGCATTGAGAAGGTACGTCTCAATATGCAAACCATTAGTATAAGGGAGGAGTTTAAGGGAACATGCTGGCTGACATGGTCAGTGGTCTGCGTGCTGCCACTTCAGTGCGTAATCAGGCAAGGAATTATGTGCACATTGGTTATGCTATAACGAAGCAAACACCAACTTGCCAGGTGAGGTGCAGCCATGCCACAGGACCCCGAGAGTAGACTGCTATCTGGCAGCAGCATGCCCACTCCACGGCCATTCCCAAGGGCAGAGCCCTGTACGCTGGTTAGAGGAGGCAAGACTCCTTGTGGGCCAACCTGCCCTTTTTCCTGGGAGTTCTATACTGCTGGCTAGGGAGATAAAGACATCTTCCATGTGTAGCCTCCCATATCCCATTCTCTTAAAAAAATAATAAGAGCACAATAAAATACATTCTTCTCCTTTCTTGATCCTCTTTGATATAGGTGAATCACATGAAAGGTTGGTAAAAATGTTAAAAGTTAAAAAATTTCCAAGGCCACTAATGTGCTATCTAAGTAATACTGCACAGTCTTGGCTTTCAGAAAACTCTGTGCTGGCAGATGAAGGGCCCCCGGGCTCCCTCACCGACTAGGTGCAGAGAACACATCTGTCAACCCTGCCACAGGTTGTTCCCTCAGAGACCTGGCCCCTTCTTCAGCATGCATGTGCACGCACACATGGAGACACAAGTGTACACACATTCACGCTGTTTGAGTGACTCTTGGGATTTCAAGGTTGAAGTAAACAGAGACTCACAGTTTTGAATAAAATAAGCATGAGCACACATACACACAAACGCCAGTGGAAGGAATACTCATCTCTTAGCCCAAGTACATGGCCAAGGGAAGAAGGGGAGGGTTTCTGTAGCTCTCGCTTCAGGTGAAGTTGTAACACAAACACTGTAATATACAGCTAAAAAAAATACATACAAAAATTGCACATATATCCATAGGAGAGGAGCACAGGCTCCACACACAGTGAACAGCTCTTAGTCACCCACCTCAAGCAAACACAATTCCCATGAGCTGTCCTCGAGAGCCATTTTAGAAAGTCATAGGAGCAATGTGCCACTTACACTGGAGGCAGTCTCTCTAGAAGAGGTCAACATTCTGAGGCAGTCAGCAGTCACATCAGCAGTCTCTTCCCCTCCCCCTGCTTATGGCTACCCCAATAGCCCACTCTGCTGTGCTCTGTAAGGAGATCTTAGAGCTGAACCGACAGCTGTTTCATCCAGACGGTTGTTTACAGCATTTGGTAGACTAGTTAACACTGGCTACTAATAGGAGGGAGCTGGCCAATTACTGCTCAGGGTAAAACTGTAATCTGGGCATTACCAGCCCTGGCTGCCAATGACCGTTTTGACAATAATCAAAGAATGGTACTTTAAACTCTGTTCCCTGATGGTCCCTAGAGAATTGCACATGTGAGAAAATCATCTCTTCATGTCCTGCCAGCTATTTATAAGATCTGAACTGTACTCCACCCTGCTGAGGCATTGGTGACACCACTTTGGGTCAGCTCTATAATGGGCCACAAGTGGCTGATAAATCCAAACTTCAATGGCAAGTGAGGACAGAGTAGAGGTGAAAGAGAAGCAGGCAGTGGCAGCAGAAGGGAGATTATTAGGGCTGTCTTCCATGCCGTGCACACACTGACAGATAACAGAAATGAAGACAGGTCTATGACCAAAGGATGGGATCTCTCCTTTTCTTTCTACTCCCTGCTGGAACAAAGGATACAGGGCCCAGTAACCGAAACTGGGCTTATGCTAAGGATGGCAGTTCTGCCTGATAAGACAATCAGTTTATTGATACCTTAAAGGAAGAGTGTTGTGAGAACTTACTGGATGATGGCACAGATTGGTTAAGTCTGTCTATTGCTAGGGAGAATAAATATTTGGTGCTGAAAAGACAGGTGATAATCAGAATTACAGAGGAACTGGACAAGCTCACTGGTTTACTGAGTTCATACCAAAGAAGCTATTATCTTCAAGGATGTGCATTCTCATTTTTTACCTGTATTTGTGGGACAGTTAGGATGGAAGGTGTTTAAGGAGATGGCAGCTGCACATTGGTGAAGTTTAATTTCTGTAAAGTTAAGACAGACTTAGCTTCTCACTTGATTTGAAGCTGTGAATAACCATTCTTATTGGATCTTGTTCATGGTCAGGGACGGAAGGTTTGTCTCTCTTCTTTCCTTGAATTCTGCGTGAGTATTAGGAAGGGGAAGTGCATGGGTGACAAGAAGGTGGTGAACATGTAGTAAAAGCAGCATCCAGAATACATTAACGATGTTGCAGAATTTTCACAATACAACTGAGGGAGTCTGTGGTGGCAAAAGCCAAATACTGAGCACAAAGCCAGTCCTCAAGGCTCACCCCGCCCTCCCTATCCAAGGACTTCTCAGCAAACTTGATCATCAGCAGTGTTCGCTTGATGTCTAACCAGTTTTGGAGCAGGCTGTTCCTTTGCACCAGGCTAGTAGAGGCTGTGAAAGTCTGGAAAAGATCTTCCCGGGGGCCCCAAAGCAGACACTGGAGGATGCCTTTGGCGTCTGAAATGAGGATCCGCTCAGAAGGGTTAGGATTCAGGAGGCAACTGGCCAGCTGCTGCAGGCCCCGGGAGTAGGGGGAGCGGAGTGGGATGCGTGGCAAGTCTGCTCGCGAGTATTCCTTCTCCTTCAGCTCTGGGTTCTCATCGAAAGGGTTGGGCAGATGTAGCATCTCATAGATGAGGATGCCTGTCTGGAACTCATCGCACTTTTTATATTGGGTAGCAGTTATGATTTCTGGGGCGAGGCGAGACTGGTCCCGGAGGATCTCGGGGTCCACCAGGTGGCTCTTTTGCTTGGCCTGAGAGAAGTTGCTCACTATAAGCCTTGTGGGACAAGACGAGGTGGAGCTGGGCTCTGCAGGCCCCAGACCTTGGGCGGTTCCCCCTAGCTGGTAGTGGACAAGCAACAGGTTCTCCAGGCGGAGATCGCAATGAGTAACATGATAGGGTTTGAGGTGTTCAAGGCCAGAGCACAGCTGTAAGAGCAGCAAACATACTTGCCTTTCATATATATCAGGGCTTTTCCCATGCTGGGTCGAAGAGTCTCGCACAAAATCAGCCACAGTGAGATAGGGAACCTCTCTGGTAATGACCACAACGTGGCTTCTCTGTTTCTTGCTCATGGCTCCCTGGTTTTCTTTCTGGGATGACTCTGATTCAGAACAGGTCTCTGGGTTTTTCCCATCAGTTTCTCCTTTTGCTTCTTCTTCACTCTCTTCCATTTCATCCTCTTCTTTTTCAGGGGCATCAGGATCTGCCCAGGGAAGCAGACGATTGGGGACTTCAGCAAGAAAATGACCACAGTCCTGCTGGATGTTAAAATGGACAGCCAGACTCTGGCGGACAGCCAAGCTATGATAATACTGCTGAGATTCTTTAGCTTTGCTCTTACAGATCTGAAAGAAGAAAGCAAATAACCCAATTTAAAACTCACACTTTCATAACTAAGCATATGGGTTATCAAGGAGTAACTGGAAGGTGATTGGTTAGGAATAAAAGATCACACAGTGGGGCACAGAGCAAGATGGTGGGCCACAAGGATTGTTCAGCTGAGCTCTCCTAGAACAACTGGGGGAAAAACAGAGAACCCAGCTATGCCTGGCCTGATGACCTTGCCCACAGTCATAGATTAGGAAGTGCAGCAAGGAGGTGGTGAGCTGAATACAGTGTATGATCTGGACTGGTAGAAATCTGATGAATTGGGCAGTTGATTGCCACTGGCTGGGATTGGCTGGCCCCTGATGGAAGTCAGGAAGGGAGGAAGCCTTTCTGGAGTTTTCAGTTGTTGGGGGAAGCTGCTTGTTGAGTGGAAACCTTGGAAGAGTGGGCGGACTCGAACAGTATATAGTAACCAGATTTGAATGCTGGCTGGAGTGGATTTGCCATGGTTTTGGTAGCTGGTGAGGTAGCCATAATGGGAAGGTCTTAGCAGGGGACTAAAGCATGGGGTCTTAATTCTGCATTCTGGGATGAAAACACCACTCTTGGGACAGGCTGAGGGACTTTCTTACCCTATAGGAGCTGGAATCAGGGGGCACTGTGATACTTGCCCCTGAAAGATTCTTGTGAGCTTTAAGATCCCAACCCAGTAGGGGCTGAATGCTGAGGAAACAATCAGGTGATCAATGGAGGCAACTAAGGAATAAAGATAGTAGAGAGTGGGGGCTGTGCTCTTTGTCTCCTAAAAAACCCACAGCGCCACCAGGTGTCCTGGTGACATATTGGCAACATATTGTCATCAAGAGAAAGGATTTCTATTTATTTGGCTTTGCTCAGGCTGAGGCCACTTTAAGACCTAAGCTCTGAGACAAGGTAATTTGAAACAAAGCAAAAGGAGGACAAGGAGTGAACAAGAAGAAAGAACACATAAGGAGGAAGCAATACAAAAATGTGAGCAACATGAAAAGCCAAAACAGAGGAACTCCTCCAAGGGACCATGAGGTAGCTACTGCAGAAGACTCCACCTATAAAGAATTAATGGATTTGGGAGAAAGTAAATTTGAAATATGGATGATAAAGACAATAAAAGGAATAGATGAGAAAATGGAAAGACAGAACCAAAAATCAGATGAGAGATATGTAGAATATAGAAAGGATAAGGCAGAACTTTAGGAAATGAAGGAGACAATCAGGGAATGTAAAGATACAGTAGAAAGTATCAAAAGTAGATTAGACCATAGAGAAGAAAGAACCTCAGAGCTAGAGGATAAAGTTTTTGAGTTAACCAAGGTAGTTAAGAGGTAGAAAAGAAGAGAGAGAAAGCAGAACAGGCACTTAGAGAACTACAAGACTCCATGAAGCATTCAAACATACAAATAATAGGGATTCCTGAAGGGGAAGAAGATTGTCCCAAAGGAATAGAAGCCCTTTGGAGATTATCATCAATGAAAACTTCCCAAGTTTTACTAACGACCCTGAAACACTCCCATCTGATGGATAGTGTACCCCAGGTCATCTCAACTCAAACAGAGTCTCTCCAAGACACATTGTAATGAACGTGTCCAAAGTCAAGATGAAAGAAAAAATTCTTCAAGCATCCAGGAATAAGTACCAACTGATCTACAGAGGCAGAGCCATTAGGATGACAGCAGACTTTTCAACTGAAACCTTCCAAGTCAGAAGAGCGTGGTCATTCAACTTCAATGTTCTTAAACAAAACAATTTTCAGACCAGAATTCTGTATCCTCCTAAATTAAGCTTCAAAATGGAGAAATCAAATCTTTTGTGCATATACAAGTACTGAGGAAATTCGCCCCAACAAGACCAGCTCTATAGGAAATAATCAGACCTATTCTCAACACTGACCATCACAATTGACCTCACCCAAAGTAAACACCTGGAAGCTAAAGGTCAAAACTTAACTTCCACAATGGTGCAAAGGATAAAATTACACAATTGACTCTCACAAAATGAGATGAACAGAACTCTACCACACTTACCAATTCTTTCTTTCTTTTTTTTTTTTTTTGAGACGGAGCCTCAAGCTATCCCCCTGGGTAGAGTGCCATGGCCTCACAACTCACAGCAACCTCCGACTCCTGGGCTCAAGCGAGTCTCCTGCCTCAGCCTCCCAAGTAGCTGGGACTACGGGCGCCCGCCACAATGCCTGGCCATTTTTTTGGTTGCAGCCATCATTGTTGTTTGGCGGGCCCGGGCTGGGGATTCGAACCCGCCACCTTAGGTGTATGTGGCTGGCGCCTTAGCCGATTGAGCCACAGGTGCCGAGCCTACCAATTCTTTCAATAAATGTCAATGGACTGAATTCACCACTGAAGAGGCACAGGCTGGCTGATTGGATAAGAAAGCACAAGCCATCCATATGCTGTCTCCAGGAGACATACCTAACCTTGAAAGACAAATCAAAACTCAGGGTTAAGGGATGGAAAACAGTATTCCAAGCGAATGGAAATCAGAAGAAAGGAGGGGTTGCAATCTTATTTTCAGATACAAGTGTATTTAAAGCAACTAAAGTTAAGAAAGACAAAGATCATCACTTTATACTGGTCAAAGGAATAATACAACAAGAAGACATTTCAATTTTAAATATGTATGCATTCAACTTAAATGCTCCCAGATTTATGAAACAGACCTGGAGGGGTCTGAGCAATATAACACCATAATAATAAGGGACATTAAGACCCCTCTGACAGAACTAGACAGATCCTCTAAACAGAAACTAAATAAAGATACAAAAGACTTAAATGTGGCCCTGGAACAAATGGGATTAATAGACATACACAGAATACACCATCCCAAAGCTAAAGAACATACATTTTTCTCATCAGCCCATGGTATGTACTCCAAAATTGGCCACATCCTAGGATACAAATCAAACCTTAGCAGAATTAAAAGAATAGAAATTATACCTATAGAATATGATGTATACCTGTCATCTATGACAAACCCACAGATAATATTATGCTGAATGGAGTAAAACTGAAAGCTTTTCCACTGAGAACTAGAACCAGACAAGGTTGTCCTCTATCACCACTACTATTCAACATAGTGCTAGATCAGGCAAGAGAAGGAAATAAAGGGCATCCAAATGGGGGCAGAGGAGGCTAAACTCTTGCTTTTTGCTGAAGATATGATCTTATACTTAGAGAACCCCAAAGACTCAACCACAAAACTCTTAGACGTGATCAAAAAATACAGCAATGTTGGCTTGGCACTTGTAGCTCTGCGGCTAGAGTGTTGGTCACATACACTCGGGCTGGTGGGTTGGAACCCAGTCCAGGCCTGCCAAACAACAATAGTAACAACTACAACAAAAAAATAGCCAGGTGGTGTGGTGGGCACCTGTAGTCCCAGCTACTTGGGAGGCTGAGGCAAGAGAATCACTTAAGCCCAAGAGTTGGAGATTGCTGTGAGCTGTGATGCCACAGCATCCTACCAAAGGTGACACAGTGAGACTCTGTCTCAAAAAAAAAAAAAAATAAAGCAATGTCTCAGGATATAAAATCAATGTCCATAAATCAGTAGCTTTTGTATATGCCAGTAACAGCCAAGATGAGAATCTAATTAAGAACACACACAATTCCCTTCACAGTAGCTTCCAAAATAAAAGGAAATACCTAGGCATATACATAACAAGAGAGGTGAAGGACCTCTGCAACAAAAATTATGAAACCCTAAGAAAATAGTACAGGATGTTAACAAATGGAAGAACGCTCATGGCTGGGAAGAATCAACATTATGAAAACGTCTATACCACCCAAAGCAATCAACAGATTCAGTGCAATTCCCATTAAAATACCATCACCATACTTTCAAGAATTGGAAAAAATAATTCTTTGTTTTGTATGGAACCAGAAGAAACCCCATATAGTGAAGGCAATTCTTAGTAATAAAAGCAAAGCTGGGGGTATCACCCTATCAGACTTTTTGCCATCCTACAAGGCCTTAGTGATCAAAATAGCATGGTATTGGCATAAAAATACAGGCAATGACATTTGGAACCGAATAGAAAACCATTGAGATGAAACTAGTATCTTACAGTCACATGATCTTTGATAAACAAAACAAAAACATACATTGGGGAAAAGAATCCCTATTCAATAAGTGTTATTGGGAGAACTGGACAACCACATGGAAAAGACTGAAACTGGACCTGCACCTCTCACCACTTACAAAAATTGATTCAAAATGGACAAAAGATTTAAATCTAAGGCCTGAAACAATAAAAATCCTAGAAGAAAATGTGGGAAAAACACTTGAAGATATTGACCTGGGGAAAGAGTTTATGAAGAAGACTTTTGTGGCAATTATAACAATAACAAAAATAAACAAATGGGACTTAATTAAACTGAAAAGCTTCTGTACAGCTAAGGACAACCAAAGCAAACAGACAACCTTCAGAATGGGAAAATATATTTGCATATTATGAATTGGACAAAAGCTTGATAATGAGGATCTACAGAGAACTTAAAATAGTCAACAAAAACAGACCCAATAATCTCATATATTGGGATGTATCACCTGGCAAGAGGCATGAATAGAATATTCTTTAAAGAGGACAGATGGGCTCGGCGCCTGTGGCTCAAGTGGCTAAGGCGCCAGCCACATACACCTAAGGTGGCGGGTTCGAATC